CGCTCGGGACTAGCCCGTGGGGGGCTTGATGCCTGGCTTCTCTAGCTCGGCTGTCCCGTAGGAACCGGTGTCCAGAGCCAGGGTCTCCTCCTGCCTGCCTCCCTGCTCTAACACTTGGCGGGAGGAGGAGAAGGAAAACAGCAGCCCAGGCTTGCCCCCGGAGCAGGGAGAGAATCCAGCCTCCTGGCCTGATCACCCCAGGTTCCTATTCCCACCCCCTTCCCACAAGCCGCCTATGTAATGAGACAAGAATGCAGGTTTCCTAGCCAACCTCCGCTGATCCTATGTGGCGGCTATTCCCCCAACCCGCTAGCAACTAAGCAGGAGCTGTTATTGATCCATCTCCAGTTTCCTTGAGATGATGCCACAGCTTGGCTTTTTTTAAATGTGTTGGCGGTTCCCTCCCAAACAGGAGAACGGCCACGTGAAGATCAATGGGGACATGTCTCCAAAGGCAGATGGAGAAGCCCCACCACTGAATGGCAATGGATCTGCTCAACCGGTCAAAGAGGAAGCCAAGGCAGAGTCTGCCAGCGGAGATGTCATTGAACCAGCCCCCGCCGCTGAAGGCGGAGAGGCCAAACCTGAGGGAGCTGCACCCTGCAAGGAAACCCCCAACAAGAAGAAGAAGAAGTTCTCCTTCAAGAAGTCCTTCAAGCTGAGTGGGATCTCCTTCAGGAAGAACAAGAAGGAGGGTGGAGATTCTTCAGTGTCCTCTCCCACCGATGAGCAGGACAAAGCAGAAGCCAAAGGAGAGGAGAACCCCACTTGTTCTACCAGCGAAACCGAGCAGACCACTACAACCCCGGAGGGGAAGGCAGAGGAAAAAGCTGCTGCAGCAGAGAACAGTCCTGCTGCTCCTGCTGCCGAGGGGCAGCAAGAAGTGGAGCCTAAAAGGGAAGATAAAGAAGCAGGGGAAACCAAGGAGGAGCAGCAGCCACAGGCAGGAGACACTCAGGAGGAAATGGCTAAGCCAGAGGAGCCCTCAAAACCTGTAGAGCCTGAGCCCAGTACAACACTCGCAGCAGCTGAGCAGAAGGAAGAGTAGAGCCTGCCTGGCATTATCATAACTTAAGACTTTTGTGCCATCCTCCTCATCCCAGTAACACACCATGGATTTGCTGACTTGCCCACACACCTTCTGTCTTCAAAGTAGAACTGACAACACCTTCTAAAATTTAAGACACCTGAATTATTTCTCCCCTGCCTTAGTACAACTCTGCACTGTTAGAAAACTGATCTGGATTTCCACCACTACAACTTGGAGTAGCTTTTATTTTTCCCCCTCCCTGAATCCTTTAAAACTGTGGAGGAAGATAATCCTGGACATAACTGGAATTTATTTAGACAGTTTACCGAGAACCCAGATATTACACCAAACACTGGCATCTCTACTGGCCTACTATTTCAACTAATCTCCCAAGCAGCTTTCAAAGCCCAACAAGCCAGTGAAGTTTACCGGATTCTTTCCACCCCACTATCCCCCACCTCAGTTTACATTCCTGGTTCTGACTTCATTTAAAGTATTTTGTGCTTTTTATAGAAACCAATGGTTTAAAAGCTAATCTGGTTAGTTTTTTATAATGTCTTACTATTGGCTTAAAACCGTAAAGCTTGTAAGTCCGCTGTGTTTTTAATTTTGCTTCTAAGGGAATAACTCTCTTGTTTTTGGGGGTGGGAGGGAGGGGAGAGTGCCAGCTGTATAATGTGAAGCAACTTTGTTTTGTCTCTGTAAATAATTTTTTAATGGCCAAGACACTTGATTTGCAATTTTCTAACTTCTAAAAAAAAAAAAAAAAAAAAGTTGTATGGGTTTTATTGTAACATTTTGAAAGGAATAAATGGTGCCCCCTTTATGGGTGAGCTTGGCGAGTCATCTTTGTCCCAGCCACTGAAGGGTAGTAGTTGCTTCCTTAACCCAATGGCTGTTGCAAGGTAGTAACTATTCTGAACTGCATGATTACTTAATGGACCTGGAGCAGATCTAAGTTTAGAAACTATAGGACTTTCATATTTTCTATGCCCCCCAGTATCTTAAGGCATTACATACTGCACTGTAAGTGTCTGTCCAATACTTGAGTACCTTTTGCATGGACCCTGAATAATCTTCTCCAAAAAAAGAATGCTGACCCTTCTCTGAACAAGACTGGTGTGGCTCTAAATAGATTGCAATGGACCTTTCAATTAATGGGTGGTAAGTGAGGTCCTTGCCTCCTGTAGTATTCCTCTGCTGAGGTAGACTTATCTGGAGCAACAGAAAGGCTTTGGTAAGAGAGTGAGCTGAGCTAAGAGACACTCTAAAGCCTTTAGCATAGGTTAGCTGTGGCACTACTCGGGGCCTATCATCATAAAAGGTGAGTTTTTCCTAATGAAACTAATCCTTTAATGCCACTAGTTCCTCCAAGCTACCTCCAGTCTAACTCTTGTTTCAAGCAGAGGACTGTTCTCCAGCAGCAGGCAGTCTATGAGAAAAGGAGGGCATAAACAGTACATTGAGTGCATTTACCTTTAAGCTACAACGTCATTAAAAGCTGCTGCTCACAAATAAGTCTAGACCAAGAGTCAATAACTATTGTTGCTCTGTGGCTTGCTTTTGAAAGCCGTCATGGATTAAAATCTTACCTGTTTTGGCTGACTAGGCCACCCCCTCACAGAGGAACTGCATCCAGGGGGAAGATATCTAGCCCTAATTACTTGACACGGAACCATGGACGCCAGTTTTTCTGTTAAGATGGACTGTTGTCTGCAAGACTGTATCTACTCCTATTTGGTACTACACAGCTTCAGTATTTTCAGAAATGCTTTGTTTCCTAATTACCTACCTTCCACCTGCTATTAATATTGGCTATTAAAGCCATCTGGTCTTCCAGCAGTAGACAACGAAATGAATAAGTGTCCTTCCTTGTATTTCAGAGTAGACCGAGCAGACAAAAGATGCCCTCACCCAATGCTTATCTGCATTACATATGATTCTGTCACAACACCTGTTTCTTCAACACTAAATTTATAAGACTTGTTAAGTGTCTGTGCAGTTGCCCTAGTCCAGTTGGGAACTAGGCTAGTACATGTCACTGTTACACATGCAACCACAAACTACTCCTATAGGGCTAACTGTAGATATTGCAGTATGGTAGCCATTTTAAATAAGACTGAACCTGAGGGAGGGAGACATGGTCTGGCAGGCTGATGACAGTAAGCTTTATTCATACACACACACTTTTTTGTGTCTTGAAGTAGCTCATGTATCTGATCCTGAACTGTAATCAAGCCAAAGGCAGAGGTAAAAGGTATCTATCTGAGAATTTGGTTCACACGCTGGCACAGAAGCCAACTTCAGTTAACCTAAAAAAGGGTTTTCCAAGATGCTTGCATTCCTTAACTGTACTGTATGATCATCATTGACTTAAGCCAGGAAGTGTTTCCATGCCATTCTTTCCCCTACTTCAGACCATGCCAAGAGAAGCTGGAATTAAAAGACACTCACTTAGCTTCAGTCTGCTTCCTGAAGTACTTAAAACAACTATATAAACAAGCTGGACTTCATCTCCTCCCACTCCTGTAGAAGAAATCCAAAAAAAGTTGCAAACTCCAGCAGTAGTGAGGATACAGCTAGATAAAAGCACAGCTGTGATTTCCTGTTTAAAGGGACCAGAGAAGAAATGCCTTGTCTTTAACATAGAATGCAAGAGGAAAAAAGCAGAAAAGGCAATGGCATCCCAAACTAGCTTTTCTGCAGAAGTGAGGGGAAGAGAATTTTTAATTTAGAAGAAACAAGTAACTGGGTAAAGGCCACACACAAAAAGTGCCAGACCATCAGTGAAGGGGAAAAGGAGCAAAAAGTAGGGCAATGTTAAGTGCAGGTCACAGGAAGTTCAGCATGCTACAAGCTTTAGTGAACAAGCTGAAGCCAGAGCTTCCATTTGCCCTTAAAAGATCGAGGTGGAGAATGTGTTAAAAGCATAAACAATCTAGTCAAAAGCCTCTAATTTCCATTTCTTAACAGTGATCTATTAAGCTTGTCACTAGTGATTTACTCCACTATTTTTCAAGAGTAAAAACAAAACAGATTCCCTCTTCTCATACTACTTCTCGCCACAAAAGGGTAAATTCACACCAATATAGAAATGTACCAGTTTTATTACAAAGATTTTCAAAATTCAAAATAAAAGCATCTTTAAAAAACCACAACATATTTTTCTCCCAGACACACAGATACACTGATCTCTCTCACTTTGCATACAAACACTGAAGAGCAGGAGAAGCTGCACATCACTCCGATTCAAGAGACTAAAAACTCACGGTGGAAAGGGGGGGGAAAAAAAAGTACTTAAAAAAATAAAACATTTAAAAAATAACCTGTGTTAAGTTAGCAGCATCATTAAGAGTTGAAACTATCAGCAGCGCTCTGTGGGAGGTACAGATCCTCTTGTGGACAGAGGTATCCCCCTGAGAAAAGGAGTCAAAACTGTCTGCAAAACTTCTGCACGACTGGAGCTCAGTGAAGCATTTCACAGAAAGCTCATCCAATGATCAGTTGTAATTAGTGAGATATGAGGTAAAGACCAGTGCTGTGCTCAAGAAACCCTGGGGGGGAGGGGGTAGAAAAGTGAAAAGAGATACAAAGACCTATCTGCTGTTCTACTACAAAAACAGTAGCCCCAGACTGCAGATTCAAAGGGTTCTCCAAAGTTATTGGCCAAGACAGCAAGGAGAAAGGTCCAATTTAAAAAATCATTTGTGCTTCACAGCAGGTGAGAAATTTCAGTGAGTGGCAACACCGAGGAGAGGCTTCAGGCAGGCTCTGTTCAAATTTGGTTTGGATGACATGGGAATTTCTGTAGTGGTTTCAGCCAACATTCACCACTCAGAATGCATCTTATATGTGCATGTGTAGCTGAATGGGAAAAAAGAGCAGAGAGACCTAAGCAGGAGAGCAAGGGACAGTAACATTTCCTCCACATATAAGGATTTAGGTAAAAGAAATTAAAGTGTTCTTTAGAGCCCTCCTCTCATTTAAGATGCATAATGCTGCCACACTAACTTGACTTGGAAGTATCCACTTGGAAAAAAAAAATCTTAACACGCTAAAGTGATTTTCGTTCTGGACTCTCCAGATCTGTACCAGTAAGGCTCTTGAGCTGATGCACCAGAGAGCTTTACAGATTTACTTTTAAGCTGCTTCAACTCCTTCAACAAAATTTGCTGCAGGTAGGTAGCCAACTCTTTTCAAGAACTGCACTATTTGACCCTGAGAAGTGGCACCAGCTTGCAGTTACTTGCCATGGCAAAAATCAGATGGGCTCTACAGAGCACTCTCTCACAGGTGTAGTTTGGGAATTCAAAATCTCCCACAAAGTTTCATGGCCATATTTCCACCCAACCTGAAATTCAGATACTACTTCTACTTAAATTATTATTCTCCAGAAGACTTCTCTCAAAAGAAACTGTAAGGGAAGGAAAGTGATTTTTCAAAACACACACCAAGGAGGCAGTGGAAGGCAAGAGCAAAACTTCCCAGTTGCCAGTTTTGGGCAGTGCAGGTCTGTCTACTCCGCAGAATCCTCCCTGTCTGCTCTCAGCGGAGTGCAGCGAGGAATAATTTACAGTTCTTAAGTCATTTATATATTTATATAGAAATATATACAGAAACATATATAAAATATAAATCCTATGGAATGGGAGGCAACCAGAAAAGCTAACCTATGATAACTATGTACTGACAGGTATTGTCCAGCTGCAGTCATCTTAGGCTGATTTAGTCTCTTCCTTTACCCTGTAGAATCAAGAATGGAGGGGGTAGGTTAAACAAGCAATTGGGACTAAAAACAAGCTATAGCAACATACTAAAAGCTTTCACCCATAGGTCCCGTCCTAAGAAGCTTATCATGCTCTAATGCCTGTCTCTATCTTACACATACATCCACTTGAGTTTTAAAACCATTGCTTAAAAAATTATTTAATATTTATCTAACACTTCTCATCTAAGGATCTCAAAGTGCTAGTTCCAAAATTAATCTGGTACTGTCTTTTACAAACAGGTAAGATAGAAAAGCCACCTCACAGGGAACGTTTGACAAAGTAATGGTATTGATTCCATCCAGCCCAGCTCCCATGACCCTTCTCTAACCATTAAGTCATGCTGCAACCCAAAATGGAGAAGAGAAAGGCACAAGTACAAACATGGCAGTTTCACTACTATTCAGACAAATGGATCTCACCCTTTAGGTTCTGCTTTCTCCTCTTTTGTTTTCTCCTCTTCTTTCTCATCTAGGAAAGAGAAATTCCACATAACAAAGTGGCAGGGAGACACCAACCAGGCATCAGCCCAGCAGGTCAAAATGGACAACAGTCAGAAGCTCTAACTGCAGGAAAAAAAAAAAAAAAAAAAAAAAAAATCACTGGTGAGGAAATCACTTTCAAAGTTACAGCAGAAAAGAGAATCCAAATAGCAGCAGATAATCCGCTTGTGGGTGACAAAGTTTGGAAACAGCCAGGTCCAGTTTAAGAAAGGGGCCAAGCATGCCACATGAAGTCACGGTATTGGTCATTAACCTGCTTTTAGCCACTTCTGTATCCTTGAAACTGGGTCTTCAACTGGCCTTCTATTAGTCACCAGGATTTTTTGTGAATATAAGAGTTGTCCCAGAAACAAAAAATTAAAAGACCAGTAAAGAAGCAGACAGTACCAAAGGATACAGACTTTACCAGAATGGTAACTTATTTTGTTATACCAGATCACAAGCAGCTCACGATTGTAACCTTCAGGTAGCTGTTTTGAAGGCTGCAGCAATTGTTATGTCATTCATTTTTTTGTGACTCAGGCTGCATTTACTGACATGTGGCCTGTTAAAAAGTTCTGAGAATCACCCCCATGATGTCAATGAAAAGCGTTACCAGTGCCTTCTCAATGAAAGGCATTCTAGGAAAATGTTATTGCAATGCACCACTGTAATGGGAACTGGGACAGACACCTGAGAATGTGTGGTATTTTCAAGGAGTTTAGAGTCACAGAGCCTCTTTCCTCAAGGAAACAGGAAAACTAGGATGGTCATATTCACACGTGCATTTTCTCCCCCCTCCCAATCTTAAAAATCTCGTGTCAAAGCTTTAGCAAAGGTGATGATTATTTGTCACTAAAACTGCTGTACCAGAATAGTGACAGCAATGGCAAAGAAGTGCTTAAGGACACTGTCTCAAAACTTAAGTAATGCTTTATTCTCATAGTGATGAGCAAGACGCTGAGGCAAGAGTACACTTTCATTTGCTACACCACAGTTAACCTTTGTAAATGCAAATAAAGAGTTTTCTTCCCCTCAGAAAAAAAAAACTCAACTTCTCCAGCCTTGGAAAAACTGGGCACTCATGGACCACACACCAGCCTATCTTGCAAGTCACTGGAGTTTGTTGTGATGACTTTCTATTTGCCGCGAGTTTCCCCATGAAGCCAGGTCCGCCTCTAGCAGCTCTTAATATTCCCAGTGAAACCAATAAGGATGTCAGCACGTATACCCCCACACCCTAAAACTCAACCCATCAAGAACTGGGGGAACGTATAAAAGGCAAATCACAGAAACAGAATCCTGTGATGGAAAGTGAAATGTTGCTCCCCTGGTATGTTTCTGTCACAGATGACTGGCCTGGCAACCCCAAAGAGGCCCAATATACTGAGAGTTTCCATATTACGCCTACCTTTTTTCTCCTCCTCCTCTTTATCCTCTTCTGTTTTTGCACGCTTGGCTTTCTTATAGTTGGCAACATTTTTGCGACCACCTTCTCCTTCATCTTCAGAATCTGAGAATTCTTCATCACAGGCTATTCTCTTATCAGAATTGCGGACTGAGAACAAAGAGGCAGAAGCTACATCAAACAGGCTAGCTCAGGGACTGCAAAACATCACACATATTTATGGATACAGGCACGTGTGGAATGCTCTGCCATGCCAAGAAACTTAACAATAACATGACTACCAGTGTCACAGCTTATGCCAATCATTTCCATCTGCCAGCATCAGGATGAGAACCAACCAACAGGCTTTGGATGAGGTTTACAGCAGGATGACTAGACCTGCCAAAAGGAGCAGGTTAACTAACTTTTACACTGAGAAAATATGACTACCAGGTACAAAGGACATTAGATTGCCAGGATATACAAGATGGCGATTTCATTCTTAATTAGCAACTTCTCAAATCAGAATGTGACATTCTACCTGCTGCTCTTCCAGAGATCCAAGGAAGGGTACCAGTACCATGATAGCTCAAAGCTTCTCTATCCCAATCATGCAGCTGGTCCAATAAAAGATATTATCCACCAAAATTCTAGACTCCAACTGCAAGCAGCTTGTCACAGCTGTTCACCATATATGAGGCACTGGCATTGTCTGAACTCTAATATTAAAATCGAGATGCATTCATTGTGAAAATTATCTGGCAGCAGTACCTCTCCTCCAATGGAGGGGATACCTCCTACCGCTGCATACTTGTTGGATTTGTCATCAAACAAAAGGAGCACAATCAAACTACTCAAACAGAAAGATAAAGGTCAGGGTAAGTCACACATTTCTTTTATAAATATTATGGTTCAACCCAAAGACTGTACTTGTTACGACCTCCCTAATCCCGTTCAGTTTAGAGCAGCCTGACTTAACAATCAGACAAGCCAACTCATACCTACAGGCAGACACCTACTTGAAATGCGTTTGTCAGGATCTTCTTCATCTTCATCTCCACTATCTTCCTGAACAGCATCCTCAGGAATTGGCTGCATCTGGACGCCAGGGGCATGAGGAAGCATGCGTAAGTTCTCAAAGAGACGCTGCCTACAACCAGAGCAGACAAGAACAGCCTGCATAAGAACAGTCGCTCACAGAAACAAGCTCTGAGTGTAATGGAATCAATGTGGCTCGCAGATACAAGCACTTACTTAATCTTCTCAAGATACTCATTGGTGTTCTGATTGGTCATATTTGAAGGACTGATGTGGAGTTTAAAGTCTGGTCCAAAGTATTCGAAATAGTCATTATACGGAAGCTCTGTATAGGGATTAAAACCAGGAGATATATTGATATTTCAATACAGATCCAGGAACTATTCAAACCCCACCTACACTTGTAGGCAATAGAAAAAACACAAAACACTTGCTTTGGGAGGAACTGTGATGCTTAAAATATACAACTTTGGGAACAGAGGAACCAAAACCTTATTTAGCAGTTTTAACTCTGTGAAGTGCTCACAACAGATTTCAGTGGAAGACCCACTCATTTCAGTGACATGGCACTGGGTATTTTGTTCTGTAGGGGAGAACTAGAATAGAACATGTAAACAAGCAGCAGCAGTTGAGAGTCAGAAAAGACTTTCACAGCAGAAGTTTGCAGCTAGTGAAATGTCTTGGGCTGTTTTATAGATCTCCCACACCTGCTCATAGCAACTGAGTTTCCCCGATCTCTGCTACAAGACAAATCGCCAGCCTTACCATTTGGAATTTCAGTGTCCAAAGCTACAGCCGTCTCGTAGGTCCAGCATCTAGCCACATTGCGGATTGTGTAGCCACCTCCTCCTAACATCAGCATGGGCAAATTAAAACTCTTTACGAACTCCACACACTTGGCATGACCTGCAGCACATGGAACAGGAAATAGCCTCATGAGGCGAGGGACAGCAAGCTTTCCAATGCAGTCTGATTATATCAGTCATGCAAGTGCCAGCAGATACTGTACTTTACATGTCTGACCTTTCCTTAAGATCAGTTTTAGAAACAGAGTATCTTACCTTTGATGGTCAGATTAAAACAGCCCAACCTGTCCCCTGACAGAGAATCTGATCCACACTGCAGGGCAACTGCGCTGGGCTGGAACGTCTCCATCACTTTAGATATCACCTGGACAAGAAATCCATTGTTACACCCTCCCAAGAGACAATGTCACAGCAACACAAAAGCCACGTCAGCTGCTGACATGGAGATATCCCCAGCATTTCAGAAGCCGTCAATCTCCACCCCATGCAGGCAACATCAGGGGTCTTGCACATAAAAATATGCTAATGAGTGACCACAACCACTTGGCAAAAATAGAACTCTAGAGACTCTTACAGTACAGGACTGTCTCCCCTCGTCATCAATACGTGACATTACAAAGCATCATCCCACAAAGACTTTACTCAGGAAAGAGGCTTACCGGCTTAAATATTGCCTCATAGGACTCATCGTCAATCCCGTCCCGGAGGGGATAGTTGACAGCATAATATTTGCCTTTGCCTGCACCAATATCCTAACAGAGTGAACAACAGGAAAGATCAAAGTGTCACCAGAGACCAAACCCCAATACACACACCATATGCCAACTTGAAAAAAGGAAGTCTGAGATTCCACCAGGGTTTTCAGAATCCAAGCCAAGACACTTGGTGACAAATTCTGTCTTGGCGTAAGAGGATGGGGTCTGCTGACTGCAACAAAGATGCAGTCCTGACTTAAATGGATGCATTTGGCCCACAACACTCAGCTCATTAATCTTACCATGGAAAGCAACACGAGGCTACAATCAGGAAAGGGAGTAACACAGCATCTTGGTATTCTATTATACGGCTGATGCCCAATGCCTTAGCATCAAGTCAAATATTCAACTTGGAATCAATAAGTTTGATGCACAAGTTATATAGATCTTGGGTTTTATTGAAGGGTTAATTTAAAAGAGTCCAAGCAGATGAGCCTTACATTGAGACCCAGTTACTAGATTATGGCAAATTCTTAGAGAGTCCACAAGCAAGGACTCTCTACTGAATGCACTTTGCTGTCATGAGAAGTTCAATTCCAGGAATCCACAGCAAAAGCATTCTGCTGTGACAAGAGATGCACAGGATGCTAGAAGCCCTGCATGTCACTCTGGGTCTATAGGAAAAGAAAAGAAAAAAGTAGGGACACCAAGATACCATGCTCAGAGAGTCTCTTTTCTGAGCATAATCAAACTACAAAGCTGTAGCATAACTGCTGCACAAGCACCATTGCTGCTTAATCAATCACAAGGACAATGTGATACACAGCTAACTAGGCAACAGAAATGATCATAGGGACAAAGCATCCCTTCTAAGAACAAAGCCAGTTGTCTCACATACATATTTCCAGTTAACATAAGCTGCCATCTGGGGACAACATATTTAAAAAGCAAACAAGGAAAATAGTGTTTTTAGTGAAATTAGTGAATAGACAAAACAACTCAAATGCCAGGGAAGCTTCTGCAAAGCATTAATTCTCACCCGCAGGTCCCCTGTTCCTGGGAAGTATTCTCCATATTTATGGAAGGATACTGTCATGACACGGTCTGTGGTATAAAAGGCCTCCTCCACACCATCTCCATGGTGAATATCAATGTCAATATACAGCACTCTCTGGTGGTACCTAGGATCAGAAGGGAATGAAAAAGCTGCATTTCTTCTGAATAGAAACAGCTTTCACCAGAGCAAAATCAGAGGACAGCAAACAACTCAGTGCTAATCCCCAGGCCATACCAATGCCAGCTTGCTGTCTCTCTGGAGTCTCAAAGCAAGGGATTTTGGAGCTTGAAGTAGCACCTTGAACCAGATGACAGCAGAACAGAACCAAAAAAAAACCCAGAAAGTGGCTTTTGCTGCTGCAATTGATGTTTGAAGGAATAGTCAACTCCATTTACTCAGACTCAACCAATGGACTGTGTGTTTCACACCCAAGCCTCTTTTTTAAAGCTGCTTGGAGCCAGAAGGCATCAGTTGTAACAAGGAGGACACAAATTACAGGAGTGCCACTTTTGTGGAAGAAGCACCCAATAGTAATATCAGAGTGGTCCAGGACTCTTCCTTACTGCATCATACCATAATTATGACGACGCTGGCTGAAAATAAGGCATCACGTCTCTGAAGACACCTGAATAAGCCCTTCCCAGAATATACACAGCTAACAAGGCAACAGAAATGAGCCAAGTGGAAAAATAATGCTAAAGCCCAAAGAAACCTCAGCAGAACAGACAGACAAAAGGGATAAGAAGCATCACACATACTTTAGCAGTTCCAAGATGGCTAAGACTATATCGTTGACATAACAGAAACCAGAAGCCTCTGATTTCTTAGCATGGTGAAGGCCTCCTGCCCAATTCACAGCAATATCTGTTTGTTGTTTGTTCAGCTTCACAGCACTGGCTGCAGGAAGAAATGCAAAACATTAGCATGAAGGACAACAAAGACCATTGAGAACAGAGGCAACAGGCCCTTCTTGATCATGGGTCTGTATCCCTATGTTATTGTAACATCTAGTTCAAATACTTAAGAGGTTTAAACACCATGTTTTTCCTACAGACCAATGGGAAACAAGAAAAATCAAAGCTGAAGGCTTATTATTTTCTCTGCAGAAGAGAGATTACAATGTGCTGTAGAGGCACTGGGAAGGGTCCAGATTTTCAGACCATGCTTTCATTTATGAAGCATAAGATCTGCACCTCTCTCACTTGTAATTCCTAGTATAAACGGGGTTTGGTTTGAAAGCAGACCCAAAGTTCTCTAGACCTTGTTAACCTCGTTCACAGTTCAAGCACAGTCTGGATTTACTGGTTTCTAAAAAGAACCTTTAATGGAAGGTTTTCTCTAGCACAACTCAATTTGTAATCTTTTGAATACAAGCAAAGAGATTTCTGCCTCCCACACTTCCACTGACTCCAGGGAACTTTTCACGGCTCTAAGGATCTGCAGAAATTAATCTTTTGGTAGGATTGGGACAGGCACTTTAGAAGTATTATACACAGCAGATAAAAAAAAAAAATGTTTTACAGGAAATAAGAATTCCTAGAAGTTTATGGTGTGAAGATATAGGCAGGCAAGTTCTCTGAGTAGATGTGATATCTTTTATTGGATCAACTGAGTAGTTGGAAAAAAGTTCTTAGCAAGCTTTCAGGCGCAGTCACCCTTCTTCAGGCACAGGGAGTCTCTGCTGGTCTGAGACTCTAAGGAATGAGAGATGGTGTGAAGATGGCATCCAGAAAGTTTAGGAAACTGTACAGTAAAACAGCTTCTCAGTAATACAGTACTGAAAATGCTTTTTTTTTTTTTTTATTCAAACTAAAACAAGGTATCTTTATAAAAAGTCCCAGCTTTATGGAAAGGATGCAACTCTCAGCATTATGATTCTACGCACAGAGATTCTCCAGCATTTCCACTGAAGTGACCCTTGAATTATGGATCATATGCTTAACAATGTGCATTGGACCTTATCCCTGGACATAAAAGTATTCTCATAGTTTCATGGTTTGTAGGGTCAGAAGGGACCTTGACAGATCATCAAGTCTGCCCCCCTGCCATGGCAGGAAAGAGCACTGGGGTCAAACGACCCCAGCAAGGTGTTCATCTAGCTTCCTCTTAAAGACCCCCAGGGTAGGAGCCAGCACCACTTCTCTTGGAAGTTGGTTCCAGGTCCTAGCTGCCCTGACTGTGAAGTAGCGCCTCCTGACGTCTAGTCTGAATCTACCCTTTACTAGCTTATGACCGTTATTTCTAGTCACTCCTGGTAGTGCTCAGGGGAACACGAACTCCCCCAATGCCTGCTGGTCCCCCCTGATTAGTTTGTAACAGGCCGCTAGATCCCCCCCTCAGCCTTCTCTTGTGGAGGCTGAACAGGTTCAGGTCCCTTAGCCTCTCCAGTGCCGCATAGAGGGGGAGGATCACCTCCTTGGACCTGCTTGAGATGCATCTGTGGATGCATGACAAGGTGCGGTTGGCCTTCCTGACCACGTCCCCACACTGTCAGCCCATGTTCATTTTGGCATCAATAATGATTCCAAGATCCTTTTCTGCCTCTGCACTGAGGAGAAGGGAGTTTCCCAGACTGTAGGTATGCTGCTGGTTCTTCCTCCCCAGGTGCAGCACCTTGCACTTGTCAGTGTTGAAACCCATCCTGTTCTCATCTGCCCACCCCTGTAACCTATCTAGGTCCAACTGCAGCCTATTCCTCCCTTCTAGCATGCCCACATCCCCCCACATCTTAGTGTCATCAGCAAATTTGAATAGGGTGCTTTTTACCCCCTCGTCCAAGTCACTGATGAAGATGTTGAACAGTGCGGGTCTGAGGACCGAGCCCTGGGGGACCCCACTGCCCACATCCCCCCAGGTCAAAAATGACCCGTCCACCACCACTCTCTGGGTGCAGCCCTCCAGCCAGCTAGCGACCCATTTGACTGTAGGTGTCAACACCACAGTCCCCTAGTTTTTTTTAATGAGAATGGGGTGAGAGACAGTATCGAAGGCCTTCCTGAAGTCCAGAAAGGCTACGTCCACTGCTACCCCTGCGTCTTAGTTCTCAATCACTAACAAATCACTAACCCAATTCAAATGCCTCAAGGCTGGAGAATGATTGTAAAGTATCAGCCTAATTATTCTAAGGAATCTGAAAGATTGGTTTTTAGTTGCATATTATATACATCCTCCTAAAACAAAAACAGATGATTCTTAAGCTTACCGACAGATCCTCCTGCAGACAGCTGACAAAACTCAAACAATCCATCAAACACGGGGCAATCTTCCCCAACGTTGACTTGGAAAAAAAAGAAACAGAAGTAGTGTTAATAGGATAAGTCTACACAAAAAATGCAAAGATTATGCTGCAAGTCTAAGTTAAGGACTTGAGTGCACTTAGAATCAAATAAATCTAACAGATGTAATTAAATATTCAGGCAATCCATCCTTCAGTGAAGACTTTATTGTCTTAGTTGTCAGTTGTTGTAACCCTCACTCAGCTCACTGCCCTTAGAGCAACAGCCTCTTCAGTTTGGAAAGAGGACTGAGGGGAGATGTGATGGAAATCCATAAAATCATGCAGGATGTGGACAAAGTGAACAGGGAACTGTTGTTCACAAAGTCCCAGAATACAAGAACTAAGGTGCACCCACCAAAATTAACAGGAGACAAGTTTAACACAAACAAGAGGAAGTTTTTTTTATTTATCAGTTTCTAACTAAACTTGTGAAACTTGCTGCCACCAGACATTGTAGAGACAGACAAGAAAGCCAGGGTCAAAAAGGGATTAGACAAATTTATGGAAAACAGGTCTATTAATAGTTATTAAGCAAAAGTCAGAGATGTACCCTCTGACATCCTTGAACCAATGACGGTGGAGGTCAGACAGGGTGTGACAAGGGATGGATCACTCTAGACATGCCCTGTTCATATATTCTCCCTTCACAGCATCTACTACAGCTACTGTCGGAGACAGGTCTGTTGGTTATACGTTGGCAGTGGACCCAAGCCAACCAGAGGCTACAATACTCTTTCAATGGTTGGAGGGAGGCCACTATATGTATAACAAATTAATTTTTGAGACAAAGGACAATAAAACAGAAACAGGAGTGCAGCTCAAAGGTTAATAACTACAGCATCAAGGAAGGAGCCTGAACTAGATGGACCACTGGCCTGACTCAGTACGGCATTCCTTATGTTCTTATGTTTTTGAATGCTCTAGCTTTGCCAACTATTTCAGTAGGGAATGGCAAGTAGCAGGGCTCAAATAATTCACTCCAAGAGGTGGTTGTAAGCTTTTCCCTGCTGATGAAGAAGACTTAAGTCATAATTTTCTACAGACTATAGGCTTTCAAATCGCAACAAATTAAATCTTTTGTCCTTATGGTTACAGAATAAACTTCCTGAGTCCTCCAGACAGACAGTGCCAGGGCACAGAGTGAGAGTAAAAATACTGCTCAGTCACTGCTGCCATTTAGAACCTTGTAGACAGCAGCAAAAAAACTGACAATTTTTGAGAGTCTCGCTCAGCTGCTGCTTGGCAAAAATGTTTGCATCTACATATGCAGTCACCCATAACATAAGCATTAATTTACATGGATCTCTTATCCCACCTCAGCCTTCAAAGAAGCCAGGAGGTTTAGGTGGGGAATTTAGTAGAGTAGACCAATCCCCTTAGAGACTCTGAAGTGGGAAAGAGACAGAAAGAAAGAAAGGAATGAGAGAAAACAGCTACAGGGGCAGAGATCTTCATATTTCAGTTATCCTGTAGTCAAGAGTCCAATATGAAAGATGGAATCATCTTTCTAGAAAACCCAGAACCCTCCTTCCCAACAGCTAAGAACAGCAAAGTGGCTAGGCTTTTCACTGGGGACCACCCCTGAACATGGAGAGTACAGTCCCACCACCTTCTGCTTTCATCTCTACTTTAGGCTTACTGGATTAATTCTGTGGTTAGATAGCAGCTGATATTTGACAATCACTTTTAGGGGGGGAGGGGGGGAACCATTAGGATTAATTTATGAATTGCTTTACTTTTATCTCACACCCACAACTATTTAAAAATATTTGTTGTAGTTGCTTTAAAGTGAAACCCTTTTGTGGAAATACAGTACTGAAAATGCTGAATTTACCAAAGGGAGACTAGCCTGGGTATTGACGAACCATTCCAGTCTCAGGGTAAACAGCTTGGTTGGTGTAAGCAGGCACTTTGGTATAACAAGGCCTATTACTTATCCTATGAAACCCTTCTGTACACTGTACTTGTGGCACCCATTACTCATTCCTTTAGTTGTTAAACTCCGTTGCCAGAGCCCTGAATGCATTTCACTCACAGTACTATTGGAAGTGTATATAATCCTCTCTAGACTACAACTCTTCCAGAGAGTCAACAGATGATCACATGCATTTCATAAAAACAAAACCTATGAAACAATGTTACAGATTTTGAGAAATAATGTACATGATGGCAACACCATCCAACTATCCTCCTGGCATTTGTATTTGTCAAGACCAGCCAGAAGTTATATAGCTCATTCCATGTTAATCCATGAATAAAGTTAGGACAGAACTGCAGTCCGAAAAAATTATAAGTTTTTATAACTACAGCTACCAAAAGAGTTTTCCAGACACAAAACAATATATTCTCTGATTGACAGATTTCAGAGGCTTAAAGGGACCATTAAGTCTGACCTACAGAACATAGAAGCTACAGTCCAACAGACCAACTCAAACCATCACCATCCAGTACTTTCACATCCACTTCCAGTACTTCTGCCTGGTCCTGGTCATCTCCCCACCATAGAACCAGCACTAGGTTCAAAACAGACTTCAGCACACCAAGTGCTTGCAGGATCTGGATCTGAATTAGAATGGGCAAACTGCAAAGTCCTGAATTTAAGGAGTAAGGTTTATAAAGGCTTTTTGATGCTGACTTATAAAACGTTCTGCACTTTTGTACAGGAAAAGATATGACTGCCATGGATCTCTATTCCTTACCGCAAGGAAGTTACCTACAAGATGCTCCCTGCTGCAATAGGACTTAGCGATACTGGCATTTCAAGATTGCTGAAATATTATGCAGACCCACAGATTTCAGCACAAACCTCAGCAGGTAAACAGTGACTCTTCAGCACTTACCATCTAGCTTTGTGTCATGCTGTAGACGATCAAAATTCCCAAGTTTGAAAAACAACCTTTTTTCTCTCTTATACCTCCCTGTTAAAGTTGGTTGCTTATGCAAAATACTGGTAGCACATCAGTGGAGAAAACTGGACATTTTTAAAGGCAGAAAATAATTTGAAAGAGCTTCTACAAGAAACAAGATTAGAAATCAGGGACTAACCACACTGGGAGGACTTTGTATTAGAAGTTTTAGCAGTTAATCTAGTGACAAACTCATTTAAAAAAAGTATTTGTCAAGTGAACTTAAAGCAGGAGAAAGAAAAGTTTCATAGGATCCTTGCTATACTCTCCAGTTCGGTTACGAGTCCCTAGCATCCCAGAGATGGCTCTTCCTATTAGAAGAATAGGATCACATGAATAGCTTACATCTTTGCATCTGCTTGCTGTACTCAGACATATTATCTGGGCGTATAGATCTCAGAAATTTAATGTAGTCATCACTATGGTACTTGGTCATTTCTTCAGCATTCGCTTTGTGGGGACGCTGTAACAGACAAACCAGCAAAATTTATTTGTAATTCAGTCTTTCTTCCTTTCCCATCCCCACAACGAATCCTAAATTTAAGCTCAAGATTACCTAAACCAGGACCCAGACCAGCAGTACTAAAAGGAAATATAATCCTATTTCCCAAGGGGAATTAAGAGTCACTAAGGAAGACTGAAATTTATCACTTGCATGGACAGAAGATATCCCAAACAAACTACAGAAGCTGTAAGTGAAAATGCCCGTCTCTGAATGGTCTTCACACTGCACTCAATCCTCACAATTTTCTTTCTTTAACCATGTTCTTCTCTCCGAGAAGTTCCCAAGAAGTGCGCAAGAGTCTGCACAGAGACCCTTTACTTCTGCATTAAAAGTGACAGCTTGGCAGACTAAGTAAACCTCCCACCCTCCTCACGTGCACTGTTCTTCTCATTTAGTGGCCAGACTTATACTTACATAGATCTCCATTTTTCTGTAAAGGCCATAGTACAGCAGGAGGTTATGGGTCATTCGGATCCTGTGGGGTTTCATTGGATGGCCCTGGCCATAATAGTAGTTTCCAACGTCCCCTGAGAACAAGAAGTATTTGGTTACAGTGGAAAGAAAGTCCTTCAAGCAGTATCACTGCAGAGAAAAGTGACAGAAACCACCTGCTGTTTAGTTGCAGCTGACCTATATTTCCTGTCATTTTCTAGTTCCACAATTTGACTGTCTGTAAGGGCTCCCCTTCCTATCTCATGCACATACATCCTTCTCTAGATTCACAACAACTTTGGTTATCGCAGTCAGGTTAACCGAGGCCTTGGACAATCTAAGAATTTACACTGATAATAAAGAACACGACCCTGCAGCAGATCACAGATGTTTGATTAACTGAGGCTGTACCTTGCAAGGAAAGATCCCATCACATTACATTTAGTATGCCCCTGAATGATATCCTTCTCAAAATTACAAAACTTCTAGAATCATTTCCAGAAGGTGAGTATCAATTTTAACTATCCCACATATGAAGAAGATCCAATTTTCACTGGGAAACTTTACCGTGTATTTTTCTGAGCAGGACTAGCAGTTCAGCACTGTGCACTTCTAATTTCAGCTAAGACAATGACTCACTCAACACATCACAAATCTTCTTTGTACCAAGTTTCCTAATCTATAAAATGGTGATATTTCCCTAATTCACCATTAGGAAATACCTAATGGAAAATCAGATATTCATCATTTCCCTGGTGAATAATAAGGAGAGAGAGGACAATAAGATACTTAGTCTGCTATGCACTCTGAAGATGAAAAACGTCCTAATTTTTTATAGTCTCAATTATTTTTGTCCTTTATTATTGCTTAAAATACACAAAGGCATCACATCCCTTATTGGGCTGATGCACCTAATGCCATTTGTGTAGGTGATTTATGTGTAGATATATATATATGCACCACTAACGAAGTTCAACTAGTTTCACAATTCAAAACCATGGTAGAAGCAATCTAGCCTGCGATGACTCAGTTGGGAGTATCTAATATTTCATCACATATCCCAGCATTCAGGAGGAACTTCCACTGCCCTGACAGCCAGCAGAGAATGAAGCTTTCCCTGTGCTGGGATTTAACCCCACTTTCAGCTGTTAGTGTACTTGAACCAATACAAGTCTCTGGATAGACAAAGAATGACACACTCTCCACTGGAGATTAACATGATTTGGAGTGAAACTGCAGTTCTCATTGCTTACAACAGAATCTTGTATGGAGGCAACAGCACCCATGTTAAAAGTAGGGTTAATTTTAAATATAAAAAAGGCTTAAAGGTAACTAGCGAAAAAGCTAAAGAGTCTCCCTAGGGAATATTTGTGAAGCCCCTATCTAACTGCTAAACGAACAGGAGCCCAGGAGAAAACAGCCACTTGGTACAGTTATGCCCTGGGCTCTCAATTAAATACAGAAGACCGATTGTAAATGCTTTGAATTGAGGATCGTATCTTGAGGTTTTGACTTTGCTAAACAAAATTAAGTTACCAGATTTCCTTTTACAGCAGTGGACATATCTGCCGTTTCAAGGATTTGTTTAAAGAGGAACTAAACATGGAAAAGTCTAGGGTGTGACTTTAAAGCACAGTAGCTATTCCTCGCTATCAGCCTTAAATAAGAGGCTAGTTTACATTACAACGTTCTGCAAGCAAAAATTTAAGCACTTTCACACCAAGTCTCCCTTGTGATGGCACAATTTCTCCCTTTTGCTTGCACTTACTCCACCTCTGCCAAGGAATAAGACTTCTGCTTCCACCTGGCAGCAAGCTGAAGGCCTATGTAGACAATCCAGCACCTTCTGCCAGCTGCGTAGTTTTTGCCTTGCCAGGGTGTGCTTGCATTCTGGTGGCAGGGCTGCGGAGTGGAGCTGCAAAGAGCCGCAGAAGCACATCTGTGTCCACAGGCTTTCGTGGTTGCCACTGTTATCTGCTGCCAGAACATGAGGCGGCCTAGTTGGGCAAGGCCAGTGCATGCATGCACACAGTAAAAAAAGGCTACTGCAATTTAAATTCACCCCAAGATTATTCCACACTAGCTCCCCTGTGTGGAAGAGCCCTAAAATAAGATGGACTTGAAGCATGTTCAATTGCATGTTAACTGACAATAAAAAGGAATGTTTTTACCACAAGGTAACTACTGATAGTCAATTATCCAACTATAAAACCAGAGTAAAAGTTTTACCAGGAGGTAAACTAGCAACATCAAATACACTTGTCACTTAGCTACCTCGTGTGCAAACAACTAGCACGCATTAGTTATCTTGCTGGGGAGGGGGGAAGAAACCCACATACTGCAGAAGGGCCTCCTAGTTCCTCACTTAATAATCAAAGAGGCTCATGCATTGATGACCAATTATATGTTTCTAAACACAAAAGGATCTCCAGACACAGACATTTTCATGCAATATCTGAATTACTTAAGTAGGTAAAGTGTTTCCTCAAGTGCAAGGAACATAAACCAGTATTTCCAGGGACCCTGAAGTTTTCATCTGAGTTTCAGCACTGGCAGCTCACCAACATTCTGATTTAATATCAAACGTGCACAGACAGAGCTGCTCAGAGCGATGGAAAGTAGAATGATGGGGTGAGGAAATCAGAATCGCATCAATGCAAATGACCTATGGTCCATGCACAGCACCAAGACAGGCATGGGGAGAACCCTGTGCAGAACACCCCTCAAGTCAAAACTATTTGTTATATATTGATGGTGGGCCTAAGCCCACCAGAAACTAACAGCCCCCCTTCAATGACTAGAGCAAGGCCAATGGGACAAAAACCATGAGAAAACAGCAACAGGGGTGCAGGGTGTAGGTTGATAACTAGGGTGCTGAGGGACGTCAGGCAATGGGACACTGTGCAAAAGTCAAAGGCATGGATCTCATGACAACATCAGGAGTTAGTACTGGAAGTTACTACACCAGAGCGATGAAAATTCCCTGATAGATACTGAATGAATTCATTTAGACAACCAAGTCTGGATGATCACTGAAAACATCCTCTGGTCCCAAAGCAAACCAAACGAGAACAGCTATTTTTAGCCAGCTTCCACTACTAAAAACATTATAATCTATACGAGGACGACGTGATCCATTTTGTGCAGATCGATGCACCTCTCCCAAAACACCTCCCCCTGCTGGCAGAAAGCCCGGCGATCCGTGCGGTAGTGAACGCGAACGTGCACAGCAGAGCGACTGCAATTCCTCCCTTTGCAAGCGCAGCGGGAAAGAGCGAACTGCCTCGGTCAGCCCATTACCTGGGCAAGGGCCACGGGATGCCCAGAGCAGCACAAAGCCTGGATCCCTGCACACACGCACGACATCTACAGTCCCACCAAGTTTTGCCAGGCCTTAAATCATAAGCCGTGTCACAGCAGCTCCCCGGTGCGGAGGGAAAGGCTGTCTCGATACATCCTCGCAGACCCAGGAGTTGTGAAGAGCTTCACTTCCTCTTCCTGCGGCACCTTCCTCAACGACCCACAGGCCTCCACGAGGGCTGCTCCTTCGGACCCCCTCAGGGCTCCCTTTGCCCAGACAGCTCCTCAGGGCCCCACCAAGCCAGGCCCCCGCTGAGGCCCTCCTCAGTGCCCCTGCCCCCATTACCAGGTGCCCTCAATGCCACCCCCCTGCAGCCAGGCACCCCCTAGGATGTTCCTCAGTGCCCCCCCTTAGCCAGGCACCCCACAGGGCACCGCTCAGTGTCATCCCCCCCTCAGCCAGGTGTCACCAGAGCCCTCCTCGATGCCCCCCCTTGCAGGCAGGCGCCCCCTAGGGGCCCCCTAGGGGCCACCTCAGCGCCCCTAGGGGGCGCCCCACCAACCAGGCCCCCCCCTCCC